CTCGACGGGATGATGTGTGTACCGCGGGTGCGTGAAGCATGAAATTGCAGGTAGGATCCGCGCTTCGTCGAACGTTACGATCAGCTGTTAACGATCCGTCGTCGAGATAGCGGCCGGCTGCCGTTACGTCACGTCACATTGCGCAATACCGTATGGCGTCCCACGAACTCATTATCGGTATCGATGCGTTGATCTCTCGGTCTCTCGTCGAAGATGCTCGAAAGATGAGTCGTGGCTGCAGCACCTTCGCGATTACCGCCTAATGACGCGAAATTCCGCGCGCCGTCTGTTTTCCCTCCTCTCTTTTATGACTCTCCCTTCTCCACGGAGAAATTTTGCCGGAACACCGAGTGCTCGTCGATATACGCCCTTCGTTAACGCTCGTCGTTTATTCGTTACGGCGCGAATAATCGTCGCGCCAGTCGCGAGGAAGAACGATCGTTCGCCGTCGAGGGGATCCCAATCGCGCGCAGTCGCGCAACAATACTCGCAATTGTTACTAATGTTCGTAATTACTCGTTCCACTTTCGGATTTCAGACTCCTCATTAGGTTCACAATGCCGTCCTTTAGCGAGCGTGAATCCGTGAGAGCGAGAGAACGTGCGGGAAAAATGCCCGGGGGAAAATATCCCGCGTCGTTTCCCGCCACGACACAATCGTCAGGAATCGTTTCTTCGCGTTCGAGAGATCGGTGCGTTTCCACCGGGCTCATTATGGACGATGTAGGTCGAGAGCGCCGTTATTACGAATGTTATATTTAAGATAGTCACGCGCTGTTAACCGTGGCAGTTCATGCAGAGACCAGGTCAATCAGGATACACCGATGTTCGCCGCGTATTACCTCGCGTATTGACCCTCAGCTGTTTTTCACGGTTACAGCGAGCTAACGGTTATGCGAAGGTTATATGTAGAAAAAAACAAGTACATAGTTGAAGTCGGAAGCAACTGTAATTTCTCTCAGTGTGTGAAAACGACGAGCGCGGGCGAAGTTACGAGGGAGCGAGAGTTACGGAGAACGAGAGACGGACGATCCTGAAAGGACACCCGGATAAAAAGCGTTCGAGATATCTCCGCGACATTAAGCGCCCGTCTCGACCGTAATATCTCGCGATATATACCCCGTGGTCGATCTTTCCGAGTAGCCAGCGCGTGTGTCTTCGGCGCGCCGGCATTATATATCGCGGGCGGGCTTTTTATCGGCGAACGGCATCGCGCGGGTCGAACGGCGGGAAACTGACCGGACGTGAAAAGAGTCGCGCGGCTTGCCGCTGCGATCCGACGAGAGCTGGCGAGATACACGGAGAATGAAAGAGAGAGAGAGAGAGAGAGAGAAATGCCGAGAGCGCTGGCCGTCCCTGGAAATGTTATTCAGCCCGAACTGACCGACTGATTGTTCAAACACCCACTGAAGGATCCGTAAGCAGTTAATTGATCTGTGTGTCGATGATGTTTTCGTAACACTGCCCCCGTGGGTGCGATAATTAATCCGACTCGCGACGTCGCATTAATCGGCGGCCGCGGACGAGCGATCCGCCGCCTGTTCGTTCTTCGCTGCGTTTCCGAGCAACCGTCGGCTGAAGAGCTAGCCGTCGGTTCTTTCCGCGATTCGGACGACACAAAGAGAACTACTACAGCGCAACGTTCGGGGGAAGGGGGGGGGGGACGACGACGGGGAAGGAGACGCGAATTCGAACGTCGATACGGTTCTGTCCAAACGCCGCGATTTTACGTGAGCGCGGAAGAGAAGGGAGGCCTTAATTCGCGGTGCTCTTCAGTCTTGATCGCGTATAATTGGAAAACCATTGGTACCGTGACGTTTTAATTAAGCAACGATCGGCTTCCGAACGGCCAGACGCAATCCGCGGGCAGTCAGATCCAGCGGTCTCGCGATATCGCGATGTGTGCCCGAGAGGAGACACCGTGCGTTATACGTAGACGAGACCTTGTCCTGCATTAATTCCGTGCAACTTCCGTGCCGAACTCGAAGGACTAACGGTGCGAATCTCGAGATACAACACAATACAGGCTATTGTCCCGTCTCGTTGATGCCCCACAAACGGTTACTTACTGTTTATACCGTCTTGAGTCTTAAAGGACCTATCAAGGGCTTCTAGAATGGCTTCACGTCCTGTGCTAAGAATATTTTGGAAAACGGATATTGTGAATTCGAGAAGAAAGCGGTATTATGATCTTTGTAGGTCCCCCCTCTCTCTCTCTCTCTCTCTTTTGTATATCAGACGCGTGAGAGTACACAACGAGCCTAACGACACGAAGCTTTTTACACGACGACGCTGCGCGGAAAAAGTGGCGCATGTTGGAAATCAACCCTTTCCCCGTGACCCTTTTAAGCCCCGGGTGATTTGCATTCCGAGCCGGTAAAAGGCTGCGATACGATTTTTATTCGGATGCCTTCCCGCTATTCAGCGGATCCCGAGCCCCGGGATGCAGAGAGGCGGCAGAAGTGTGATTTTAAGATTTACATGCGACGAGGGGGAGCGATTGGTGGAGGGGGAGGGGTACTTCAGCGGAATACGCGAGATCGCTCTAGTCCGCGGATTAAAGCGAGGATGACTCCGCGAAATTGTCCTCCCCGTCAATCCGAGTCAATTAGCTTTCCCGCTGATACGCAATACCTGTCTGGGGATTTTTCGAGGGGGGAGGGAGGGACCATAATAATTTCTATAATAATTTCGGGCGTAATTATTATTATTATCGTGCTTCGCGCACGGTGCATTATAATGCCGGGAGATTACGTTTGCGCGTTTGTAACATAATGCATGGTTTGACGAGTCCGTTCGAGTTTCTGCGGAGTCGATCATTGCGCGCACCGGTCGTTTAATTCTCTTTGCATGGCGGTTGAAAATGAGCAATTGCAAATGAACGGACACGTTTTGCACCGAATACAATTATCTCGGTAATTGCATATACCACGCGGATATGACCGTTGTGGCCTGAGAGAGATCGTACCGAGCGTTTCCGCCGAGATTCGATATTGCCGGGAAAGGTCGATAGAAAGAAGAAGAAAGAAAGAATTCGCCTGTTTCATCAGCCGTAAAAGCCGTGCATACAGTTGAAGCCGGACAAGAGGATCCCTCGATCAGCCTGATACATCTCGCTGCAACGAATTAAAGGCACGAGAACAAAGGCTCGGACAGCCGAGGGAAAGAGAGAGAGAGAGAGAGAGAGAGAGAGAGAGGCAGAAGAGATGGAGCGGAAGGAGGAGGAAGGGGATTGCAGCGCGCTCGGTATCAAAACCGTAAGAAATTTAACGCTCGATACTCCCCGGCGATCTTGATGGCGCGCTTGCACGGCGAAATTTCTCGGGGCTCACTCCTCAATTATTCATCATCGGAATCACGACAGAGCATCCAATCGAGAGCGTCTTTGATCAAAGATACCGTAGTTCCGGTCCGCCCTATCGAGCAGACAGCTCGAAGGACGGCGGCGGCGGGTCGGAAGGTTATACCGGCGCACATCGGATCCTTCGGCACGAACCGAGGCAATCTTCTGATCCTCCTTCGCGAAGAGGTTGCGGAGGGGCCGCGGTTACGCGTAGAAACTGAGTCCCTCGACCACGGGATATACATACCACGATATTGCGAATGCAGTTTCGCGTAATGAACGAAGCGGAGAGATTATTCTTCGTCCGTCTCCCCGCGTCTCTTTCCTCGTCCCAGCCGGAAGACGGGAACGACGACGGACAGTCGCTACCGCGAAAAACATGCCGCGTCACCCGTTCGCAGGTGACGGATCTTCTCTCTCCGAGAATTTAATAGGTAATTATTTCCCGAACTACATTTTCATCTTAATACTTTGCCGTGTGTTCAGCTACTTAACGTGTTTTGGAAAATCCATCGTTTCACGCTTGTTAACGTCATTCCCTACGGCCCCTCGCCCCGCCCTCGATCTTGCTTTCATTCCGCAACCTTCCCGAAGAAAAACGCAGAATTATCGAGCTCTCCGGGTTCGGTCGATAAGCCCGGTGCCTTTAAGAGTCTACGAAAAGTTACATTCCATTATGCGCTCGCCAAGTCCATCTACGCGCCGCTTGCGGTGGCTTTCAGCCCCGGGGGAGGGGAAAAAAAGGGAGACAGACGAGGGGAAAGGGGTTGCGGACATCGGTTTCGAGAAGCGAAGCGAGGCCCTCCAGGAGGAAACTTGAAGCCGAGTACTTCCCCCTCGGCTTTATTCAAATCCGTCGTGGTGGTCCCGCGAGAAGTTCCAGCCGGCGCTTTCCCATTTTCGCCGAGCTCGCGACGCCGAGCAGCGCGCGCGTCTCGAAGTTTCCGGATGGTGTCGCGACGCGCCAAGATCGACGCCGGTTCTCGTTTATCCACGGTGCCGTCGGTGCTTTCGCTCGCCGATGAAATCTTCCTCTCTCGACCGTAAATTCGGTCGCGAACGATCTGGACTGCGACACTTGGCCGGCCGATGACTCGGGATGAAAATGCGAGCTAAACGACGAGACGGCATCTTTCACGCGTAGAGACGTTGCGACACCACTGATACGACACTGATATCGATATTTTCCCTTCGATACTGAATATTTTTATATTGACACTTTCGATATTTGTACCCGATATCGATATCGGTATTAGAGATGGGCGATACGGGGAGGAAATATCGATATCTTGTGCGCCAATATCGAAAGATACAGTATCGATATTGCATCGCCCGTACCTAACTGGCATCGCTAATGTTTTCGATACTCTCGGTCGGATCTACGCTTCAATACTAGCATCGATACTTTCATAGCATTGCGACATCCCTATTCACGCGCGCGACCGACGATCCAGCCTTTTCAACGGCGTAAATCTTCCGTTTCTCGTCCTTCTCTCTCTCTCTTTTCTTGTCAGCTCTTTTATTTATCGCGCACGTGTTCGTTTCGAGACCTCGATTTGAGAACCATTACCGGTACCGTGCGCCGCTGATGGCTATGCATAATATAGCGGCGCCGCATGCTTTATTCCCACCACCGTGAATCGAGAGAGTCCACTTACTCTGGAGCAGGATTTCTCCAGCGTTGCGTTCCAGCCCGCGCCATCAGGCATCAACCGGCCGATCTGAAAGCAGAAAGCGTTATTCCTAGCGTGACAGTCCCGAGGAGAGCGACTTATCGATGATGATGCACGGATGAAATGTCAAACTTCGCGGTAACGCGATCCGGCCTGACATTTCGTGTGCGCTAAATATCGGCCGGTCGGCCGATTGCGAAATATTTATTACGTGATTTATCAGCCGATGGCACGTAACTGCTGGACCGTGGCGTGTACACGGGTATTCCGCGACGAAATCGCGTGCTCCGATGATTACGGCCGACCGCAATTGTGCATACGTGTGTAACGTGATTCGTTACGTACGCGGAAAAAAGGATATTTGGTAACAAGTACGGAAATTTCGCGAATATCTGCCGACCAAAATACTTGATTAGCGCGATCAAATAATTTAGTCCGGTGTACGAAATATACAATATACGGAATGACAGTACTCGTATATACAATACATGAAACGAAATTATTTCCTTGCGCTAATCGAATATTTGGCCGGCAAATATTCGTCGAATTTTCGTACTCATTACCGAATCCTCTTTTCAGCGTATCTCGATCGAACTTCATCCGGGCCGCTTTACACTGAGAAGAGAAAAAAAATTATAATTTTGCGAAGTAAATATTTCTCATGATATTTTCTTCGATATTGATCGGCCACGAGAAAATTTCACTGCGGTGATGGAAAGTATATTTTTATGAAATACATCCAAGTTTTCTTATTAATTAATTTATTCGCTAGGAATCAAATTTTACCTCGCCGCATTTTTAAATGAACGTTCACTTCTGTGAGGTAAACACATACTTACATTTCAGAAATTAATTTTTAAGTTTTCTTTTCTCTCAGCGTAGTGGCAGAGGCGCACGAATTCGCGGGGATATCGCGATAACAAGCTGATAGATATTTCTCGGGAAGGGTTTAAGCGTATGAATCGCTTTCGTTAATGGCACGCCGCGGTTCCGCGTAACCGTGTGCGCGACGGTGCGAATAATAAGTATAATACGTAACGAATGGTGCATCTCTTCGCATAATCCGTGCCGCGCGCAGTAGAGGTAATAATGATTGTTATTTACAGTTACGAGAAGATACGAGAGAGTCCTATTATACATCGTTACGCAATTTTCCGTATCCGCACCTCGTAAGACGTACGTGTGCGGGATGGAGATGCGCCTCGAAGGAGGCACCGCGAAATTAGAAGAAGAACCTACGCTTACGAAGCGAAGAAATTAAAGCTTGCGTTAATTTCTGTGTTCTGGATTGTTTTAATAAGCGTCACGGACGCCCCGTTGATTCGATGCGTCTCCGTCTCGTTTCTACAAATAATTCATTGACGTCTTCATTCGAAATTAATGAGTGAATAATCCGATAATTCGCGACCGCATAATAGCTTTAACACACGATATAACCGGGTTATTAAGTTTTTTCTAATTGTACAACCGATTCATCGCATTATCGATTATTCAATGAAACGGCAGCGATACGTCAATGCAATAATCTATCCCCGTAATAATAACTTTATGTTAACTTCCAGAAACAAATGTCTACGTTAAAAACTGTATATTAAAAAAAAACGAATAACTTAATTACACTAGTTATTTAAAAATTACCGCTAATTTATGGAAACGTGCACCCGTATTAAGAATCCATTTCAAGTTCGAGTAAGGCACTAACTGTTGTGATTCCGAGTGGGCAATATTGTTTACTGCTTCGAGCGAAATCTTCGTTCTCGTTTCGGGCGAGAAATTCCACACCGAGAAATTTGACGAGCGTAAATAATTCACAAACTTTAAGCGGGCCTTGCTTGCCTTTTATGCTCCCCCCCCCTCCCCCCTACCCATTATCCACGCGACCTGTTCGCCGCGTTACGCATATTCTATCACAAATTTCAACCTGACGGAAAGTACGCGCGCCGAAAGAGCGCGTTCCGACTCATTAACGCGATACACAGCGACGTTGTTCGACGGTATGTATATATATAGGTGATGCATCATTTCACCGCGTATCGGGGCGATAATTGAGGATCAATATTCGCCGCTGACCGGAAGATTAGTTATCGCTTCGCGAAACTTCGCTCGCGACGGTAACTCGCTGGCGGCCGGCGCGCGATGATAAATATTTGCCCGGTAGGGAAAACGGATAAAAGCGCGTGACGCCGCGATATTTTGTCGGATGGACGGACGGAAGGAAGCACTACGGAGCGTGTAAGTCGAGCAGTGGCGTGTTTACGGTGTGTACATACGAACTTAACGAACCGTCGGAAATCCTCGTCGGCGTGCCTGGTCGGAGAAAAGCTGAAAGTTCAGCGTCATTCGGCCAACTTATCCCCTCGAGAACTCTCATCGTATACCGTCGCCGACGGCCGCTCTCGTAACTTCGCAGGTCCGCCGGCGGTTAACTCGCGGACTCGCGTGTGTGTTGGCCGAGCGCCCGCTTTATTGCCGTCATAAATGTCCGTTAATCTGCATCAATGTTGCCCCGGCGATTTCGCGCGACACGTTCCGGGTCGACTAAGAGAGAGAGAGAGAGAGAGAGAACCGGCCGGCTCGGCATGTCGAGAAAAAGGTCGAAGGTGAGGTCGAACGCGTCACGTCTCTTTGTGGCCCCGTCGTTCCCTCGAGCGGAAACAGCGAGAGCTTATCTCGTTCGTGTTCGCTTCGATGATGAATTCCACCGAGTATCGCGATTTTCGCGCAGTTTAACGCGCAAGGTTGAAGACGCGGGAGAGAAGGTCGAAACGGGTCGAAGTGGCTGTAAAATCACTTCACGCCTCGTACCGAGAAGTCAATAGCGGGAAAACCGAAGGCCTACATCATCGGCACTACGATTCTGATCCGGACTCCTTTGAAGCTTCGAGTCGAAATCTCGATGTGTTTACAGATTTAATTTAATTTCAATGCTATTGCGAAACAACCGATTTTGACGCTAAAATAGCGAAAACGGAAATTTGAGGCATCGTCGCGGTAAATTATAATCATTAGAATTCAACCTATTTTAGAAAGTAATTACCTACGTATACGAGAACCAAGCTGTCCGCTATTCGAGAATACAAAATTTACTAGTAATTTACAAATATACAATGTTAAACTAGGTCAGGAAAAGTTCTGAGTTTCTGCAAAAGTTTTGCTGAAAAAACTACAGTCGTGTAAAAAGCTTCGGTTGCAAAATTCCGACTCGGAGATTCTCCCACGCGTACACACAAGTTCCCAATTTCGATTATCCATAAACGAGACATCCGATCCGGCGCAATAAGATTCCTCCGCTTTCGCGTTTCGAGAGAGGAAAGAAAGGTGGCTGCAATGATCGACTATCGCGGTCTCCTCATGTTTCAAACACGACAACACGACGGGCTCGCGAGAAACTACGGACCTTCAATAAAATATCGCGCGTGTAAGATTAAACTGGCTTTCTATCTTCGCGCTCGTCGAGGGCCACCCTCTGTTCGAAGGATGCTCCGGATGCGGTCGTTCCGCCGAGGATGACCCTTTGCACGCGCGCGCGGAGTGAGTACAGGGAGTTCGGAGGGAGGTTTATATTATGTAAGCAGCGTAGTTGTAGCGTAACTTCAGCCAGCTCATGCATATCTCAGCGACAAGTGGATGCCACTTCAGCCCTGCCTACGTTTTTCGACCCGATCGGTCGACCAAATATCCCTTTCGACAGCGTTTTCCGGCACTCTCTCCTTCGGAACCACCCCCTCCCCTCCTGTAGAGAAAGCAGCCGCTATTCGGCTGACAATAAGCACGTAGCGCGGGAACGGTTTCCGGACGGTTGCGTGAACGTTTGCGTACGATACGTGATACGAAATTCAAGATACACAGGTAATAGAATCGCTAATCTCTAAAGTGCAATCAGTGCGTTGTCGTTGAAAAGCAGCGAATAGTCACCGGCGATCACAGTTGCGACTATAATACTGCAAATCCGACAAATTTCGCCGAGAAAATCTGTCGATAAGCAACAACTGTTTTCATCACCGTGAAGTCGAAAGAAATAATATAAAAAAAATAGATATTCGTTACTTTTTTTTTATTATCTTACGAAAATGCGGTTGATCTTCGTTAAGTCAGCGTTAGTGCGGCTTATTTTTAAAAACGTTATCCCGCACGCTTATCCCGCATCCATGAATTTTAATCCGAACGATTGATGGCGCCGAGGGTGGAGCCTGTAAAGTATCTCGTACCGTGCCCGCGCGCGAAATCTGGGTCAGATTTTTACAATTTAAATGGCGGTGCCTTTCAAATTCAAAGCGCGGAGATTATCGAGTTGCTCGGCCCTTTGAGGGCCTCCCACTAATATCTGAAATTTCTCGGGCCACGCTGCGCCAGGATAACACAGACACACACAATCATCGCGTGCATTATTTATTTCGCACCGGCCGGAAGGGAGGAGGCAACTCTCCCGCCTTGCGTTTCACGCGGGTAATTATTGTTGCGTTCGAAAAGAAGTAACACGCAAGAAACATGACATGTGCGACAGATTCCTGAGACTTTCGCGACTGAGCGATTTCTCGCTCGCGCCGTCCGGCACGCCCTTATCGATCCGGAATCGCCGACTCGGGGCGAGTCGGATTTCCAACCCGCGGCGTAAAATCGCGCGCTCCGCCGTAGATTCGCGATAAAAATTCCCTATTTATCGCGCGCAGTCCATAAGGGAAAATATATCGGCGGCTCCTTCCCGCCCTCGCGAGCGATACCGCATGGAGAACCACCCGACTCTTTTTCCCCTTTTATTGGACTTCGACCGATATATATCGTGACTTTTAAATCCACAAAGTGGCCGCGGACGTCGAACGGCTTCTGCGAAAAGAAACGCGAGGGTGCATTTTCGTCGGCGTACCGAAAGAAAACAAATTTCCTAGAATCGAGTAAACGTAATACCTGTTTTTCAGACCTTTCAAATCGAATTATATTTTTATTAATTTAAACGTATTTCAATAGCTTGTGGTAAATACTAGTGATGGACGGTCTTGATTCGATTTTTAGGATGACCGATGATTTTCCTCCGAAAATCAGTGTTTCTC